TTTGGAGGCTTGGGGACTGATCACATCTGGGGTCAGAAATAAGGGAGAGTTAGATTACTGCAAAGTTAATAAATATGCAGACCCCGCATCTCACCAGTGGCAGGGGGTAGGGTTACCCCAGAGTTACTTAGTCTGTCATTTTGTACAAAGACCACCCACTTGCTCTGCCTTAAAGGATGTTGCCCCCTTGAGAATTGTTAAAAGTGGCATTTGTTTTGGGGCAAAGAACATAGGCTTTTGACCAGTCTTGGGTTTGAATGCCAAGCCTCTTATAAGGTGTGAAGCCAAAATGAGGTCGTGACTGGCAGGTGGTGCCTGTGAAAAGGTTGTAGCTGTATTTACTAAAAAACTAGCTTTTGCGCCCTGGCCAGTGGCTCAGTGGTTAGAGTGTCAGCTGGAGCACTTAGGGTGTCTCGGGCTCTATGCCTGGTTCCTGGCCCTGGTCCAGGTTCATGCGACATTGATGTTTCTCCCCCCCACTCCCCCCAACTCTAAAAAGCAATGGGGAAAATTTCCTTGGGTTGAGGATTAATCAAACAAACCAAAAAAGTAGCCTTTGGGTATGGAATAAATTTTCAAAGTGAGGCAAAGTTGGAGACAGTGATAGTACTTAGTACAAAATAAAACCTACCGACATACAGTCTGTTTGCCTTGTGGGATGGAATGATGTCGACATCCTGGGTAGGCTCAGACTAGGGGTGTCGAACTCAATCAGAGAAGGGGCCAAAATCTAAAATCCAGCCTAAATCTCGGGCCGAATGGTTTACTGAACAGTCATAAACTGTCATTGTGATGGAAACGCAGTGGAGTGCAGTGATGACAGCGCGGTGCGGGCCACATTGCAAGGCCTGGCGGGACGGATTTGGCCCGCGGGCCTTGTGTTTGACACGTGGCTCAGACCATGGCGGGGTGTGCATGGTTCCATGCTTTTAACTAAACTCTGAAGCGGCCACACACAGCTCCACTTTTAACCAGTGACCCACATTTTAAGATGATTGTCCTAGACTCGGGGTATGGACTTTAGCTTCAAAACTAAGTGGCTTATCTAAGATTAAATTCGACCTCGTAGCCCAGGATCCCAACCAGCTAAACTGGCCATGGACCCAAACTTCACAAGGCTCTGAAGCAAAGCGGGGTGGAGGTCGAGTCATCGGCCTCGGACTCAGCTCGGAAACCCCAGTGAAGAAGAGGAGCTGTCCCGGCTGTGACGTGGAAGCCCAGGCTCTCACATGTTTGTGTCCTTGAAAGAAGATGGAGTTCATCCATGTGCTCATGTATTTTCTTTCTTGGGTAAACCTCTCCCAACCAGCTTCCAGCTGTGTGGGCGGGAAGTGTGTGTGGAATCTCTCTGCCCAGTATTTCCTTAGGATTCTCTTTCTGTTAGAAAGCCAGAGAATTGTGAGGGTTACATGGGTGAAGAATGATTTTTTTTTTTTTTTTTTTTTAGTTTTTGAAAGAGTAAGACATCTAACAGAGCATTTCCCCTATTAATTAGATGAAGGTACATTAGGCTGTTAGTTGAGCCAGAGGGGAACACAGGGTGTTACTTTGTATTCTTGTTGCTATTAATACTCACCCAAGAATTTCTTTGATTTTTAGAGAGGGGGCGGGAGGGGGAAAAGGGGGGGAAGGCACCTCAATGTGAGACACATTGATTGGTTGCCTCACACACACACATCCCAACCAGGGTGAGGGATCAAGCCTGCAAGTGAAGGTACGTGCTCTTGACCAGAATCGAACCCAAACCCATTCATTCCTCAGACTAATGCTCTAATTACTGAGCAGCTGGCCATAATTTCTTTGTATTCTTTTAAAAAAAAATAAACTTTATTGTTTATATTATTACAAATGTTCATTTTTTCCCCTCCATTGCTCCCCTCTACCAGGTTCCTACTCCATCCTCTGCCCTTTCCTCAGCCCCCATTGTCCTCATCCATAGATACAGTTTATGTTCAGTCTCTTCCCGCACCCCGCACTCCCCTTTTCCCCAAGAATCGTCAGTCCACTCCCCTTCCATACTTCTGATTCTATTATATTCACCAGTTAATATTCTTCATCAGGTTTTTTAATTCCCTTGGTTTTTAGATTCACTTGTTGATAGTTACGTATTTATTCATAATTTTGTCTTTATTTCTTCCTCTTCCTAAACAATTCATATAATTGTTTAGCAATTCATATAATTCTGGTTTGGTGGTGATTTTTTTATTTGTAAAGCTCTTCAACTGGCCTTCGATTCTGAGTGATAGCTTTGCTGGGTAGAGTAATTTGGGCTGTAGGTTCTTGTTATTCATCACCTTGAATATTTCTTGCCATTCCCGTCTGGCCTGCATGGTTTCTGTTAAGAAATCAGCTAACAGTCGTATGGGTGCTTCTTTATAGGTAACTACCTGCTTTTCTCTTGCTGCTTTTAATATTCTCTGTCTTTTGCTCTTGGAATTTTAATTATGGTGTGTCTTGGTGTGTTCCTCTTTGGATTCCTTTTGTTTGGGGTTCTGTGTGCTTCCTGGACTTGTAAGTCTATTTCTTTCACCAGGTGGGGGAAGTTTTCTGTCACTATTTCTTTCAGTATGTTTTCGATATCTTGCTCTCTCTCATCTTCTGGGTCCCCCATAATTCTGATGTTGGTTTGCTTGAAGTTGTCCCAGAGGTTTCTTACACTATCTTCAACTTTCTGGATTCTCTTGTCTTCTTGCTTCTGCGGAGGAGTGTCCTCTGGCTTTTTGTGTTCCAAATCTTTGACTTGATTCTTGCGATCTTCCATTCTGTTTTTAGGACTCTGTATAATATTTTTTATTTCAGACAATGTATTCTTTATTTCTAGTTGATCCCTTTTCATATCCTCATAGGTCTCATTTATTTTATTGGCCTTTTCTAGGAAATTCTTGAAAAATCTTATAAGCGTGGTTTTGAATTCTATATCCAGTCGCTTTTTGTCCTCCATTTCTTTCGCTTGTGATCATTTTCGCTGCTTCCCTGAGTTGGTAGGGTGGCTTTGTGTGTTGAGGTGTCCTATATTGTTCAGTGGGTCAGCTTATCTGAAGTGGACACTCTTTGTGCACCCCTTTGTGGACTGTGTGTACAGCCTTATTGTAGTTAAGTCTTAATTATTGTTGGTATCACTGGGAGGAACTGACCTCCAGGCCAGTTGGCTGTGAGGATCAGCTGTGTCTATGCCAGGAGACAGGCTTATTCAAAAGCCTCTGTGCTTAGCTTGGATGGGGCGGAGTTTCAGGAGCCTACAACCTTCTCTTCCTGTCAGCCCTGCCCTGTGAGGTTCCTGAGTCTCAGTGTTCCTCAGTGTCCTTTGGTACTGGCTGCAAGCACCTCTGAGAGAAAGGTGCCCTCGAGTTTCGCTTGCTACCAGACAGTCTAGTCTCTCCCCCAATGAGCCCGGAACTGGGGTTCAGTGGAGTTGGAAGTGGGGTTCAGTGCAGTCCGGAGCTTTTGTCTCCTTCCTGCTAGGGCAGTCCAGCAGCACAGTCAACAGTCCGTCCTCTGCGCGCAGCGTGCACAACTCTGCGGCTCTGTCTTTTGCATCTTCCCTGAGTTTCCGCCTCACAGCCCAGACTCCCTCCGAATGAGCCTGGGTCCCCAGGGTCTGGTCTAGAACTGGGGTTCAGTGCAGTAGGAACTGGGGCTCAGCACACTTTGGAGCTTTTGTCTCCTTCCCGCTAGGGCAATCCAGCAGCACAGTCAACAGTCAGTCCTCGCGAAATGTGCGCGACTCCAGGGCTCTGCTTTTTGCCGCTCCCCTGAGTTTCCGCCTTACAGCTTAGAATCCCTCTGTATGAGCCTGGTTCCCCAGGGTCTCGCCCAGAACTGGGGTTCAGTGCAGTCGGAACTGGGGCTCAGCACAGTCCGGAGCTTTTATCTCCTTCCCGCTAGGGAACGCCAACCAGGCACTCGGCCACCTCTCCTCTCCAGCTCCATCCTCTCCCCATGTGTCTCCGTACCTTAGGCTTTTACAGCTCCTCTGATTTTCCTTCTGGTTTTCTCTTTCCTTCTAGTTGTAGAATTTCTAGTCAGTCAACTTTCCTGTAGCTCTGAATAATGTCCACTTTATATTTTAGTTGTATTTTTTGAAATTGTTGTGTAAGGCTACAGTTAGGCGTTTACCTATGCCACCATCTTGGTTTCTCTTTCTTTGTATTCTTGAAGGCAGGTGGGAAGGTGTAGTTTATACTATAAAAGAGCTGGAAGGGCATAGCTAGACTCCAGGGGGGGCAGGGGTTGGAGTTGCAGCTCTGCCTACCTCTAAACTGGATTTTGTGTTTGTTACAATATGTTCTGTTGTGGAAGAGAGTTTTGTGGATGTTTTCAACTGAACTGTGTACGTTAGAACATCCAAATGAGATGAATGCATGGGTTGCTGGGAGTGGCATCTATGTGTATGAAGGGTGCAGAGTTGCCAGATAGCATGTAGGACACCCATGTATAGTAGAATTTCAAGTGGCCAATATATTTTAGTACTTGTAGTTTGGAGCCATTTTTGGTGTGTGTTACAGGTTTACAAAAAAAGATCTGTAGCACTTGAAAATATTCAAAGAACAGTTGCTGTTAGAATGAGTTTTTAGACTGCCCTCCTGTTGTATTACATCCAGTGATTTTGCCATGGGTGGGTATGTACCTTTGAGGCAGATCTGTATTCAAGATAGATTTAATCCTAAAATCTTGACTTTGTGGATTGTTGATGGAAGTAAAGCATGGGATTCACAGTTTAATTAAGGTTTAAAATTAAATATGTTTAGGTATCTCAAGTTCAAATTAAGATTTAATTCAGTTGATACTATAAGTGATAGACTTCCTTCTAGATGGGTACCACCGAGTTTATTTCCTTCTGAAGCTGGCATTCTTGCTATGATGCAGGCAGGGGTTGACAAAATGTATTCCATCTGTATTTCAGAATTCAGAATTTGAAATTGGTATGCGTTTAGTACTTTCATTGTCCCGCTCTTACCTTTAATGCAAATGGCTCTTTAAAATTTAATCTTTCATTGCAGTGTTGCCCGAGTGTGATCTCAAAGATGGGAGGTGCTGTGAGTGCCGGTGAGGACAACGATGAACTGATAGACAATTTGAAGGAAGCACAGTACATCCGGACCGAACTGGTGGAGCAGGCTTTCCGAGCGATTGACCGCGCAGATTATTATCTTGAAGAGTTTAAAGAAAATGCGTACAAAGATTTGGCATGGAAGCATGGGAACATCCACCTGTCGGCTCCGTGCATCTACTCAGAGGTGATGGAAGCCCTGGACCTGCAGCCTGGGCTCTCGTTCCTGAATCTGGGCAGTGGCACCGGCTACCTCAGCTCCATGGTGGGGCTCATTTTAGGTAATGGGGGGAGTTTGCAGTACCAAAGAGACTGCTGGCAGTGTCCTTTGGAGGGGTCTGTCTAATTGCCCTTGGCCTTCCCTGCATTATCTGGTATCATTTACCAATAGTCCCTGGGTGGGCTGGTGAGGGGAGGGCCCTGGGGCACCGCTCCCGATCCCTGTGCCCTGCCACTTGTGCCTCCAGCAGGTGTAACACGTCCTCCTCCCGACAGTGGAGCACCTGGACAGCGGCGTCACTCTGGTCTTCCCTGGCTCTTGACTGGACCTCGGCCAGCTTGCCCTGCCATTTGCTCTAAACCAGTGGTTCTCACCCTTCCTGGTGCCGCGGCCCTCTAATACAGCTCCTCATGCTGTGGTGACCCCCAACCATAAAGTTATTTCGTTGCTACTTCATAACCGTAATTTTGCTTCTGTTATGAATAGCAATGTAAATATGTGTGTTTTCCGATGGTCTTAGGCGACCCTGCTAGCTGTATTAAAGGGTCGCGGCGATAGAAAGGTTGAGAACCACTGCTCTAAACAGAACAATTAACGTCCAAGTGCCTGGGATTCAAAGTTCTCTCAAACAGTTTTTTGTTTGTCTTGTGATTTGAACACTGGGAGAATTAATGCCTGTAATGTTATTTTTAGATAATTTCCAGGTGAGAGAGATTTCACAAGTTAACTTTCTTAAAGCCATTTAGTAACGGTATCTGATAACTGAGGATTCATTTAATTCCTATCTTATGTAAAATGTGATTGGTGGAGGGTAGAGACATCTTAACAACTCTCATGGCCAGAGCTTTTCTGGGAAAAAAATGCATCAAGGCAGAAAAGGGAGCAGGTCCTGGCATCCAGGCTGAACACTGGCGGCCTCACAGGATGGAAAAGACACCTCCGTCCTGCCCGAGGGGCCTTTTTAAGACGGTGACTCCGGAGAAGAAAGGGGTCAGTTATGAGAGAATTCGAGTTGGGTCTGGTAGGAGGACGTGAGAGGGAGTGTGGAGCCTGGAGAACTGGCACACGTGCATCCACTTCCTTGCAGGCACACCCAGAGGACCCCAGGACCCACACCCTCCAGAGGAGCGCTGGGCCCTTCATCAGCACAGATGGTGCTGCCTGCTTCTGACCTGCATGCAAACAGATTCCCACAGACTCACCTCAGCTGTTTGTGTCCATAGTTGTCCCCCAGATTTCACCCGGAGGAAGGTCCCACGCAGGCAACACTGACAGCAGTAACAGGACGTAATGTCTGTTGCGGTTCCCTTTGATTTAAATGCTTCACAGTGACTTGGAATTGTAGTTTTTTCAATGATGATTAAAACCTGTTTTGTGAGGATTACTAATGCCCACGTCTGAGTGTCTGGTGGAACCTTCTGTGGAACAGTCCTTTGTCAGCTTTCATTTGCAAATACGCTTCTTCAGTTATCGGCAAGACCTTGAACCCTTGGTTTCAGACCTTGGCTTTTTTACATTTTCAAATAATTCTTTGGAAGTTGGAGGGCAGGGAAGCTCAGGCTTTGGAAAGCTATGGAGTCAGTAACCACAAGTGAGTGAGTGTGATGTGAGCAGAGCCTGCCTTGCATATAAAGATAAGCTTGAGGTGATGTAAGATAAGAAAACCTTGTGCATTACAGTAATTGCTCACACAAAGTCAGGCCTGTTGCTGCCGATACAGGAGAAATGCAGAGTAAGAGCTGTCGCTCTGGTTCTGAAAGTTTTCTGGCTCTGAACCCTTGCAGGTCCTTTTGGGGTAAACCATGGTGTGGAGCTCCATCCAGATGTGATTGAGTACGCAAAGCAGAAACTAGACTTCTTCATCAGGACCAGCGACAGCTTCGACAAGTAAGGCCAAGCCCTGTCCCTCTGTCAGGGTCTGGGTTGTAAGGTAACTTGATGAGACGGGGGGAATCCATCTGCAGTGTTCTTGGGCCAGCAGGCATGGTTGTGGCGTGCCAGGGGACCAGGATGTGTGGTCTAATTGTTTAAAGTGGAGTGGCTCAGTTGATTGGGCCACTGCAGGATTGCTGGTTCGATTCCTAGTCAGGGCACAGGTGCCGGGGTTCTGGGCTCCATTCCTGTTGGAGGGCATGTAGGAAGAAGCCGATGGATGTTCCACTCTCACATTGATGTTTCTTTCTCTAAAAAAAATTTTAAAAAATCTTAACACATCCCCCTCCCCCTCTCTCTCTTCCCCCGCATCACCCTTGTCATCCTGTCACCATGACCAGGTAGCTTAGTTGGTAGTTGGTTAGAGCATCTTCCTGATACTCCAGGGTTACAGGTGGCAGGCTCGATCCCCGGTGAAGGCACAGACAAAGTCAAGCAATTAATGCATCAATAAGTGGAACAACAAATATGTGTTTATCTCTGAAAATCAATAAAAAAAGTTTTAAAACATATATTGGGGTTTTTAGGGCTTTATATTTGTTCACTGTGATACCTAGGTAAAGGTAGTTTTTCACCAATAAGAGAGAGAAATAGAATGTTCATTTTGCTTCGTTTTCATGTTTCTTATAGAGATGTTTTATCATTGATGGTTTCTAAAACAGTAAACAGTTTTTGTAACTAGTTCTTGCCATTTTTAAACAAGGCATGGATAGTCTTATTTTAGGGATTAAAATTTTTAGAAAAACCAAATGTATTTTACTTACCCTCATTTCACTGTTGTGTAATGACTTTGAATAAGATAATTATTATAAATGTAGGGCAAAGATAGTGATGATTGGAGGTTGAATGCTTTAAGCTTGGATCATGCTTATGATGTTCACTTTAATGATACTTTATTTGGAATTTCTAGGGTTTAATTATTAATAGCACAATCCTTTTTGAAGTCTGGATTCCAGTGCCAGCTCAGTAAGCTGTATTACATAGTGTAGGGTTCTTTTTTTTTTCTTTCTTTTTTTTTTTTTTTTTTTTTTTTTGCATATTACTCTTTTATTAGATGGGATTACTGACAATCTATAAGCATCTTTTTTTTTTTTTTTTTTAGAGCAGGACTACCCAGGCCCCATAGTGTAGGGTTCTGAAGTGAAAATCTCTCACCTGTGGTTGGCGTAAATTTATTTGTAGCCCTGTTATTTGGAGCCGTGGGATGAACACATTTCTTCCTTTCAGGTTTGACTTCTGTGAACCTTCCTTTGTTCCTGGCAATTGCCTGGAGCTTTCTCCTGATTGCTCTCAGTATGACCGGGTGTATTGCGGTGCAGGTGTGCAGAAGGAGCACGAGGACTACATGAAGAGTCTTCTCAAGGTGGGGGGCATCCTGGTCATGCCGCTGGAAGAGAAGGTCAGACCCCTTCCTAACTGACATCTTTGCACACGTAACGGTTTGGCAAGGTCTGTTCCAGGTAGTTGACACATACTCTTCCTTGTAACAAGTCCCTGTGTTCACAAATGAGGTAGAAGGCAAGGACAGGTCTTGGGTCGAATAAGCATCTCAGAGCCTCCTTTTATACTCTCCACCCACAGCTGTGCTGTGGTGCTTATTTTGTTACTAGAATCCTATCCTATATAATAAAAGTCTAAGTGGCCTAACACCCTTGCATGATGCCATCACAAGATGGCTGCCACGAGATGGCCAGCAGGGGAGGGCAGTTGGGGGTGACTAGGTCTGCAAGGGAGGGCAGTTGGGAGCAGTTGGGCCAGCGGGGGTTGGGGGGCAGTTAGGTATCAATCAGGCCCGCAGGGGAGTGGTTATGGGGTGATCCACAGGGATCAGGCCTAAACTGGCAGTCTGACAATACCCCAAAGGGGTCTCAGATTGGAGAGAGTGCAGGCTGGGCTGAGGGACACCCCCCCACTTCACGAATTTTCATACACTAGGACTATCCTATCTAATAAAAGGGTAACATGCAAATTGACAACACCACCACACTCACAATCCACGGCCACTAGCCAATCAGGAGTAAGTATGCAAATTAACCCAACCAAGGTGGCTACGGCCACAGAGCGAGCAGGAGGCTTGGGTTTCCCCGGCAATGGAGGAAGCCAAGCTTCCCTCACATGCAGGCCACCTGTGGACGCCACTCAAGGCCACGAAGTTTCAATTATAGGAGATAAATAAATCCCAACAAAGATGGTGGCAGTCACGGAGCTGGAGAGAGCAGGAGGCTTGAGTTGCCCCCAGCAATGGAGGAATTCAAGCTTCTGCAGCCCTAGCCTGCCTTGGCCTCTACTCAAGGCTATAAAATTTCAATTATAGAAGATAAATAAATCCCAGATCCCAGGGCCTCTGCTTGGGTCGCCAGGGAGCGTGGCCACCCTGCAAACCACCACAGCCCCTCCCTCATGTACCAGGCCTCTATCCTAGCTAATAAAAGAGAAATATACAAATTGACCATCAGTCCTAACACACAAGATAGCTGCCCCCATGTGGATACAAGGTGTCCACCACAAGATGGCCAGCATGGGAGGGCCGTTGGGAGGGACCAGGCCTGCAAGGGAGAGCAGTTGGGGTTGATCAAGCCTGCAGGGGAGGGCAGTTAGGGGTGACCAGGCCGGCAGAGGAGGGAAGTTGGGGGCGACCAGGCCTGCAAGAAAGTATAGTTGGGGGGGAATCCAGGCCTACCAGGATTGGGCCTAAATGGGCAGGTGGACATCCCTTGAGGGAGAGCTTTTGGGGGAGAATAGGCCTGAAGGGGAGGGCAGTTAGGGGCAAATAAGGTGGCAGGGGAGCAGTTAGGCATTAATCAAGCTGGCAGCAGAGTGGTTAGGAGGTGATCAGACTGGCAAGTAGAAGTGATTAGGGCAATCAGGAAGGCAGGCAGGCGAGCAGTTGGAGCCAGCAGTCTTGGATTGTGAGAGGGATGTTCTGATTGCCTGTTTAGGCCTGATCCTACTGGATGTTGGCGGACACTAGGCCTTCAGGGAAGGGCAGTTGGGGGGAGCGGGACCCAGGCCTACTAGGATTGGGCCTAAACAGGCAGGTGGGTCATGCATGTTTTAGTATGTTTTCAGTACTGTGCTTCAGTGGGAAAGACAGACATGCATTGGTCATTGGGAAGGATGACTCACTATCACAAAGAACTAGGAAAAATAAAATTATAAACATTATGAGATTGTGCATTTTTTTAAAAAAAATTCTGTAATTGTTAAATGTTTGCATTTGTAACTTATTTTGCTTGAAAAATAGTCATTCATTTTAGGAAATGAAGGAACACCAGGCACAACTGCTCACAGTTGCCTTCCTGGTGGCTGAGTGTGGTCCTTGTACATGTTTGTAGTTTGATGTTGTTTTTAAAAAGGTGACAGCACATGTTTTAGAAGTTACACTGGTTCCTTAGAAGAGTTTGTGAATATAGTTTCAAGCCAGTCAGTGTTCACATAATTATTTTTAGTTCTTGCCTGGCAGCCACTGGCATGTGGGGCCTAGTTGATGATCGGGTTAGTGATTGGACATGAGGCTGTGTGTTGTGACTCACTGTTATTTTACTGTTACATAAAGACTCAGTGAATTACTACCCAAATTAAAAAACAATTACTCATAAATATTTCAGTATGTATTTGGATAAGATAAGGATTCTGTTTTTAAAACAGTCATAAAACCATCATCAACCTAAAAAATTAGTAGTAATTTTTTTCTTTTTTAAAATGTGTTTTTGTTAATTTCAGAGACAGGCAGGGAGAGGGTGAGAGGGATAGAAATTAGTATTGTTGATCAGCTGCTTCCTGCACACCCCCCCTGCCTCCGGGGTCAAGCCCACAACGTGGACATGTGGCCTGACGGAATTGAACTGTGACCTCCTGGTTCATGGGTCATCGCTCAGCCACTGAGCACACCAGCTGGGCAATAGTAATTTCTGAATATCTTCAACTGTCTACTAGCATTCCATTTTTCCTGATTGTCTTAATGTGATTTTGATTTGTTTATGTGAATGCAGGTCCATTTAAGATTTATGTGTTGAATCTGATTGGAGTATCTCCTAAGTGCATTAATCAGTAGATTCTTTCTTTTTCATTGCAATTTGTTTTTGAAGAAATTAGGCCATTTGTCTTACCAAGTTCCCTGCAGCATATCTCTGTGGGGCTCTCTCCCATGTTCTTTTGGTCCTTTCCTCCGAGAGGGGAGTGGGTGTCAGCCCTCAGCCAGTGGTGTCAGCGCCCGCCACCTGTCTCTCAGGCGGAACGCTGTCCCCATCTGCCCAGTGTGATGTCTGTCTACAATATGTGGCATCACTATTTGATGTCTATAACTAGTTCAGGATTTTTGGGGTGTGTGGTTTTTGCCTTTTTATTCCACTGGAGAGGTGCCAAGTAGGTCGTCCTGCCGGGTTGGTCCTGCTGTTTTCACAGGGACAGGACCAGGCCTCGTCTCTGCTCTTCAGTCTCAGAATGCGAGGTGGGTCCTTCCTTACAGATGACTGTAGGAATCTTCATGGTTTTGCAGAAATACAATTTTATTAGAATTGTGCTACAGCTGGTTAATTTGAGGATTAGAGACATATTTTCAGTATTCTGCTCATACAGAACATGAAATAGGCATTTATAGTTTTAAGGGCTCACCCATTTTTTATTATTACTTTTAACTATTTGATGTTTATTATAACTAGAAATTCTCCTTTTAAGAAATGTTTTCCTTTGGGTGGTGGCACACGGTACGATATAGATCTTATAACATAGAAACCCACACCTGAAACCTATATGTTCATGTTGACCAGTGTCACCCCAATCAATTTAATAAATAATTTTTTTTAAAGGAATGTCTCTGCTAGTATACAAGAATGCAAGTAACTTGTTGATGTTCATCAAATACATGGCTACTGAATTCTTTTATTTCTAAGATTCATGGCATAGAACCTTAGTTTTTAGACGGTTTGCTGGTTTAGATATTTTTAGGTTAGGGAGCATACAATCTTAGCAGGACAGAGCTGATCAGAAATAGTCCTGTGACTCCGGTGTTGTGGTGGCAGAGCAGGCCCACAGAGCACAGGATGGCCGTGCTTTAATCGGCCCTGCGCCCCTGGATTGTGATTCACAGGAGCTGTGGTGAGACGGCACGCAGGGAGCCATGCCAGTGTCACTGGGGCCCTGGGCAGTGTCACTGGGAGGCTCCTTGGACATTTCAGTGTGTGCATCTCCCAAGGGGACGGGAAGCTAGACTCCCAGCAAGGAGCTGTGCTTTGTGGTTGCAGCTGTTGTGCTTGAGTCCCCACTTGCTGTAGGAGTTTTGGCTGGCCAGCGTGTGGTGTAGATTGTGTGTGTCTGATGACTGTCACTTCAGAGTCCTCCACATCCCCTAGCATTGAAAGTGGTCTCATCAGATCCCTACACTGCTTGGATTGTGTCCTTCTGTTGTCCTTTAATTTCTTCCTCTGACATAGACATTTCCTGTAACAGGAGTTAGGGTGAGATGCTTGGCTGTGTTCAGACCCTCTTGTGTTTTTAATGATTTGTGTATCTGTGTAGTTTTAGATGGTGTGTAGGCATTAAAACTATATTTAATCTAACATACCAGTAATTAAGTCTTGTCTTGTCCCTGGGATAGTTGACTAAGATAACGCGCACGGGACCTTCTGCTTGGGAAACCAAAAAGATCCTGGCTGTTTCCTTCGCTCCTCTGGTCCAGCCGCGCCGCTCAGAGTCGGGGAAATCAAGACTCGTCCAGCTACGTGAGTACAGAGTCCCTAGCCCATCATTTGGATGTTTTGAATTTCATTAAAAGGAACCTTTAATATTAAAGAGCATTTCCCACTCACTATAACCTTAAACTTTTTATTTATTTATTTATTTTAAATATATTTTATTGATTTTACACAGAGAGGAATTGAGAGGGATAGAGAGTTAGAAACGTCGATGAGAGAGAAACATTGACCAGCTGCCTCCTGCGAACCCCCTACTGGGGATGTGCCCGCAACTAAGGCACATGCCCTTGACCAGAATCGAACCCAGGACCTTTCAGTCCCTAGGCTGACGCTCTATCCACTGAGCCAAACCGGTCTTGGCTAAACTTTTTTTTTAAAAATGCCTAAAAACCACAACTCTATTTCCAGCTTATTGTACGTGATTTTAGCTGTGTTTTACCTCCTCAGAGAACTGCTGAGGGTGGTGCCCTGGGAAGCAGAAGAGCCCCTAGAAGGGAATTAAACCCGCCCTGTGGAGAGTGTGTCCTGGCACCTCTGCCATGGGGCTCCTGCAGACCCCGGACCTCTGCCTGGGGCGGCTGCAGGGCCACGTGTCCGCCACTCGGCTCAGGTGGGCAGGGCCAGGTTTGCAGTGGAGCCTTCCTCGGCCAGGCCTGTGCCTCTCACTCCGTCAGGGTGCAGACCCATCAAAGAGTTAAGCATTCAGTCAAATGTTTTATAATTTCAACAAGAGACTTACACTGTTTAGCATGCACTCTGCCTTCTGATGATTTAGGAAATTTGGAAAATGAAAAAAAATATAGGAGGAAAAAAATCACCCTTAATTTCAGCACCCAAAGATAACTAATACATGTGGGTGAGTTCCTTCTAGAATCATCCTTTAATATATGTGAGGAGTCACTTACCAATGTGATGTTATGTTCTTCCTGGTCTCTGCTAAGTGCAGGTCACATGACATTGACATGGTCGTTGAAGTGTGAGGAACTGGGGTAAGGAGCAACCATAGACTGTGCAGAGGGACTGAGAGGTTGTGTTGGTCCTTGAGGCCGAGAGGAGCGAAGAGAGGGAGGAAAGGAGCCAAGGCCGTGACTGAAGTGTACGCTCCCAGGGGCTCTGAGGAGGCAGCTGGGCGCCCTAATGGGATGCCGGTTGGCCTGCAGTTTATCCCCTGGGCTGGGCAGAGCTCCTCGGGGGTGACGCCTCTCACTCAGGATCACCCTCCTGAGTGATGCAGTGTGTCCATGTTCCGTGTCCCAGAGGGTGACAGCTGACGCTGCCCACGGTAGCATGTTGGAGGTGAGGGGACAGTCGGGGCTCGAGGAGGCCTGGTGGGGCCTGGCTGATGGTCATGACCAAGTGGAAGGCACCCTGATATGTGGGTTTTGAGCCCGTGGTTCAGAGTGAATATTGGATGATAAGTAATCATGGGATGCTGTTCAGGGATCCTGAAGGGAACAGCAGTCCACTTGTTTGTAATGTGATCTTTGTAAACCAGAAATCACACTGAGGGAGTCAGTGCCGAGTGAAGTCCTGTAGGTGCTGGCAGGGTCAGTCATCAGAGTGGACAGGCCAACGGCAGCACAGGCAGGAACCATTAGGAGGCGATTGGGATTTCCCAGGCTAGAGATAAAGATGGATGGTAAACACTGGCCCAAGAGGGAAGGACCAGGACAGGCCCAGGGACCTCTCTGAAGAGGATGCCAGAGACTGTTGTGGATGTGGGCTTGTGGTCAGGACGGGTGATAGCCCTGGGAGTTGCTGGCCGGTTTCTGTTCATTGAAGCCACAGACTAGATGTCAGATGAAGGAGAGAGGAGAAAGGGTAAAGTCAGAACCTTGGGAAGCAGCACTGGGGCTGAGAGGAGGGAGAGCCGACACCGGCCCCACGTGGCCCACGTGCCAGTGCTGTCCGTGGGAGGTCCGGTGGCCGGTGAAGGACTCCTTCCAGCTGTCTGAGGAGCAGCAGCGAGTGGCAGGGTGGCCCGCGTCCTCTGGAGGAAGAGGACAGTGAGCAGAGAGAGTTGGTGCTGACAGAGGGGTCATGGGAACTCCCAGGTCCCTGGGTCCACGGGGCACTTGCTGAGGCTCTGCGAGGCCTCCGGAGGGCGGTGTGAGTTTTTGGAGTGCTCGGGTCTTGGAGGGGAGAGTAGTGCTGGTTTTGAGTTTACTGTATTGAAACACTTGACCCCCTCATTCCTTTCCCTCTGAGAAAAGCCCTCACAGCCTCATCGAAGAGCCTGCATAAAACTCAGTGACCAAGCTTTACTTTTTCTGTAAGCTGTAGAGTTTTTGTTCTTAAAACTGTTGTGATTCTCCTTTTCTCTACTTTAACAACAGCAAGAAGTATTCAGTTTATAAATCACAATGAAAACAGAGTAGGTGGGCGAGTGCTGGATGGCGGTGGGTGAGAGCCCTTGGCAGACACAGGGACCAGGGGCCGGCCAGGCTGGGGAGACGCAGAGCAGCTGGGCTCTTTCCTGCTGGTCTCTGCCAGCGGCGGGGCCCTCCTTCGTCTCCGTGCAAGCTACATGTGTCAGCTATTTCCTGAAAAGAGCTCCTGCTCTGTGCTTTGTTCACATGCAGTTTCCAGTTGGTTAGGCCTGATTGTCAGCACAAACACTGACTCATGTCCTTTGCGCTGCAGCCCCCCTGGCGGTCCGGAGCCTCCAGGACTTGGCTCGCATTGCCATCCGGGGCGCCATTAAGAAGGTCATTCACCAGGAAGCAGTGAGCAGAAATGGGGACGGACTGAAAGCCACTCCCAGGTTCAAGCGAAGGAGAGTGCGCCGCCGTCGAATGGAAACCATTGTCTTCTTAGACAAAGAGGTCTTTGCCAGTCGGATTTCCAACCCTTCTGAGGACAACAGCTGTGAGGGCTTGGGAGAGGAGCAGCGGGAAGAAGAGGAGCAGAGCCCAGCTGAGACAAAGCCAGAGCCCCCCGTGAACTTCCTGCGGGAGAAGGTCCTGAGCCTGCCCCTGCCTGACCCCCTGAAGTACTACCTGCTCTACTACAGGGACAAGTGAGCGCATGCAGGTGGCGCCAAGCCTGTGGCCAGCGGAGTGTGCCCTGTCTGCACGGTTCTTCCAGTTTGATCTTGATTATCTTGTAGAATTTTCATTAAATGGTAGATTTCTTTAAATATAATCTGACAAACAGTAAGTGCATGGGAGAATGTTTTCTTGAAAGGGACAGAGTCTCCTGGAGAAAGGCTCCCCTCAGCTCATGGGAGGCACAGGGAGGCACGTCTGCACAAGCAGGGAGGCCGGGGGGCTGTGCCGTGCGTGGAGCGTGCAAGCGCACCTTTGTGAGCGTGGGGGCTTCTGGGTGAGACACACCTCTGTCCAAATTTGAATTTGACGTTATCAACCTCTTAATTCATGGCCCTGACCTTCACTAAACCTAGCTCTCTTTTCTTGACAAGCCCTCCCTTATTGTAAAATTGTAAAAATTCTTATGGGAGTTGTCAGTTTGTGTGTGTGCTTATTTTTAATTGTGTTGGGGGAGGGGGAATAAAAGTATCAAACTGCCAGATACCTTTTAGGAGTTCCAAGAATTCCGAGGAGTTTTCCCTGATACCTTCCCTTACCTTTAGAAGAGCTAATGTCACGCTGGCTGGTAGCTCGGTTGGTTGGAGCGTCCAGATACACCAAAGTTTCGGTTTTGATCCCTTGTCAGAGCACACACAAGAATCAGCCACCGAATGTTTAAAGAAGTGGAGCAACAATAAATCAGTGGTTCTCTCCCTTCTCTTCTCTACAATCGATCGATCGATCTATCGATCAGTCGATCAAAAAAAAAACACCAATGTCTAGTAATCCCTGCGAGAATACCTTGAAGAATGAAGCGCATGCAGTGTAGGTAATAAACGACAACGTTTACCCCAGTGCGGACTGATGACGACGACGACGAGAGGATTGCGGTGATCCTTGCTAGGGTTGGCCTCAGGAGGGACCCAGGCCGTGGCCCTCGGAGCCAGTGGAGGCCCTCGGGCTGCGGGAAGGGTGGGGACTCTGGCTGCTTGCGCTTTTCGCTTTCCTTCAGAGCTTCCATTGGTATTCCTCTATAATCACATTAGAGAACTGACTCATAGATTTTATCTTTTGTAATTCTGGAGAAAAAAGATTTGTTAGTTTTGTAATTTTTCTTAAGAACAAATATATGTATTTTGCTAGCTCCATTGCACAGACTGGGGCCTCGTGTGGCAGGAGCTTTTGTCTCATTAGGTTCTGGGTCCGGAGGAAGGGTCCTGTTGGTCTGGTGGCAGAATGTTTGACGTTACAGTGCTTATTCCAAAACACTGGTTCTTTCTCATTTTTTTGTTTGTTTGTTTGTTTACCCAAACAGAAGAAACGGTATTAAATGTTAACAAATAGCCCAGTAAACAGTGCTGATGTTGGTCAGTCACCCAGAGTTGAGGTTTAATTTTATCGCTTCAAGTCTTGGGTGTTGCTGAGGTTTAGTGTCTCTGGTTTCAACCAGTTAACTGAGTCCTGGTTATTTTTCACCTTTTTGCTGTGTTTAGTAGCTGAATCCTTTCTGTCACAGGATGCTGTGTGCATGCCTCACTGGGAAACTGTGTTGTGTCCTCCTGGGCTTGTGTCCTGAAGCTGTTGGGAAGAAGCACTTCACGGCTTGGTGACCTGCCTGTGACTCGGCCACTCTCCGAGCAGGGTGGAGCACTCCCAGGGACCCTGCAGAGCGACAGGGTCTTGTGGATACACAGAGGCCTCCAATTTGTGGACATTCTTGGACTTAAGTGTATCTGTGAAATCTGTTCTATTATGCTTTTCCCCTGTGATTGTATATGGATTTCATTTCTTTTAAACCACATTTGCCTTATAAAAGGCAATGCAGGGGCGTGTGCCTCGGTTGTGGGTTCCCCAGCCCTGGTCGTGGTGCGTGCAGGAGGGTGGTGCGTGCGGGAGTCGCCAATCAACGTCTCTTGTGTTAATGTTTCTCCCTCTGTCCCTCCTCCCTCCCTCTCACTTTCTCTAAAACCAGTGGAAGAAATGTCATCAGGTGAGGATTCAAAAAAAGGCCATGCATAACACGTTTTCCCATGTGTTAAACATGCCTAGCAGTTTTAATTTACATGTTCTCAGTTGTGATTTTTAAAGCAGAATTTGGTTAAAAAATCTGATGCTGTAATCTATATGAACTAGCTGGTAAACATGGCGGAGGGTGTGAGCGGCCGCCTGTGGCCGGGCCTCTGGTGCAGCGTGAGCGGCCTGCGGCTCCTCGGTATGTGCTCCCGCCAGCCGCGCAGACACCGCTCTTCGACTGTGGGCTTCTGTGTAGTCAGTCATCCTGTGTTTTTATATGTGACTTTTGTCTTAGAAGTAGGAGAGCCATTGAGATGTACAAAACAAAGATCAAGTTTATAACATTAAGTGTGTAATGTAAAAATCACTGTGTGAACGTGCTTTAGCCAGGCTGGAACTTCCAGGGGATTAATGTAAGAAATCTGAAACTGGTTTTAAAAGCTGACATACCTGGATAAATACAAGCTATCAATAAAGGCAGTTAAGACATTTTAGCCTTCTTAGCACTGCTTCTGTTTCTTGTCTGGGATAGATATGCTTGTCCCCCGATCTTAAAAAAAAAAAAAAAAAAAAAAAAAAAAATATATATATATATATATATATATATATATATATATATATATATATATTTTTTTTTTTTGTTTGTTTGTTTGTTTGTTTGTTTTGTTTTTGTTTAATGTATTTTCTTTCACACTTTATTACTAATTCTGGTATATGAAGAGTGTCTGTGGTTAGATTTTTGGCACAACTTTTCCATAACCTGAAATATGGAAATAAAATTGGGTACTACTGGTAGCTATAGATTTTACCAGCAGCAAAGGGTTTAAGGTTGGTTTGGGTCAGGGCCTAGGACCAGAGCTGAAGTTTAGGATTGGGGTTTATGGTCAGGGTCAGAGCAGGGTTGGAGGTTAGGATCAGGACTTCAATTTTTGAGGTGGTATTGCAAAAAAATTTTTTTCATTTCAAATTCCAGTTTTTCCTGTACATTTTAGTCCATCTGGGCTGCTATAATAAAACACCATTTTGGTATTTTGGGTGGCTTCTAAACAAGTTATTTTTCACATTCTGGAGGCTAAAAGTCTGAGCTGGTAGGAGAGGGCCTCTCTCCGGTCCCTGGGGTCCAGCTTACCCTCTCAGGGAGGAAGGGGCTGGGTCTCGGACAACACAGACGCTTCATGCAGACTTCATCTTCATGGCTTGAGGCCCCACCTCCTAACACCATCACACAGCGCTTTAAGGTGAGGTGTGTCTGGCCATGCTGTTGGCCCAGCTGTGCACTCACCTGAGGCTTGCCTGCAGGCGTGTCCGGTAGCATGGGCAGCTGCAGCCGCCAGAGACTTGGCTGATCAGCAACAGGGATGTGTTTCTCCCCAGCTAGAGGTGGGAAGGCTCCAGGCGAGTCTGTCTGATTGCAGCTTGACTCTTCCCCTCCACCCCACACAACAGAAGGGCAGTGGAGTTGTTATCCTATAGGGTTAGGGGAGACTTGGAGAAAATAAAAGTTGTTTGGGAAACAGCTGTTGTTGCTGTGTGTGGTGATGGGTGGGAGGGATGAAGGGTCAGGGCCACGCATACCCCGACCTCAGGTTCTGTCCTGGAACCTGGGGCAGAGCAAGCGCCTTCTGCTCCTGGGATTGCCGAGGGTTGTACTGTGACGGAATGACCCGCCTGTTGGCGGAGATGCAGCTGCCTGTCTGATCTGCACCAGCTGGCTGGCTCACACCGTCTGTGCACGCACTCAGGTCCACGATGGAGCTTTCTCAGGTCTCCCTGGGCACTGAGTTCACTTTGTGAACGAATGCCCTCCCAATAGCATCACTTCCTAACACTACACATGGCATTAGGTTTCCACATATGAATGTGGGAGGACAGGCATTCAATCCATAGCAGGGAGAGTGCTTCAAGCTCCTTCCTGTGGTTGCTGAGAGGATTATCCCTCAGGTGATGACAGCTTGAGGACCTCAGTTCTTCCATAGCTGTTGGCAAGAGGCCTCGAGTTTCCTTTCTCTAGGGCAGTGGTCGGCAAACGGTGTGGCTCGTGAGCCACATGCGGCTCTTTGGCCCCTTGAGTGTGGCTCTTCCACAATATACCACGTGTGGGCGCGCACATACAGTATGATTGAAACTTCGTGGCCCATGTGCAGAAGTCGGGTTTTCGGCTCTCAAAAGAAATTTCAATCGTTGTACTGCTGATATTTGGCCCTGTTGACTAAGGAGTTTGCCGACCACTGCGCTGGGGCAACTCACAGCAGGGGCAGTGCCTGAGGGCAGAGTTGGAGAGCGACCAGGTGAGGCAGTGAGAACCTGCACCTGCCCAGTCCAAAACACTCTTAAACTTGCAAGGATGGATTTTTGCTGTTAAAAATGAAATTATTTAGTCCTGGCTGGTTTGGCTCAGTTGGTGCATGAAGTTCATTCACTCTGATCCTAGCCTCTGGTAGACTGAAGGGTCCTGGGTTCAATTCCAGTCAAGGCATGTGCCCAGTTTGCCCAGGTTGTGGGTTCCATCCCGAGTGGGGGATGTACAAGAAGCAGCTGGTCAATGATTCTCTCTCATTCTAATATATAAAAACCCAGGGTCCCTAATGTCCAAAATAACCGAAGGCTCAACTGACAGAAGTCCTGCAGTCAGTGCTGGGTTACCGTGGTGACCCAGCACTGACTGCCGAGGGGGCTGTGGATCAGGCCTGGAGAGAGGCCTGGAGAGAGAAGCAGGGTCTGATACTATCCTCCCTGGCAGCTGTTGATCAGCCCTTGCCTCTCTCTTTCTCTCCAGGCCTGGCCAGCAGCTACACCTCTTTTTCTCTCCGGGCCTCCGTGGGGGCTGCTGATCAGCCCTGGCTCTCTGATCAGGCCCAGAGATAGGCCTGGAGACACTGACTGGCATAGAAATCGGCCAATCAGAACCAAATTTGGGTGAACTGGGAAGGCAGAGCCTAAGGTGGGGGCTGAGTTGGGGTTTCAAGGGCAACAGCTATTTGGTGTAAGGTGTAAGAAAGCGGTTCAATGTTTTGTTCAGTTTGGCAGTATAGTGCATATGGCTCATTATCAGTCCAGATATAGAGAATATGTATTTTTGTATACTAAGAGCATCTCCTCCTGCTGAAAAAGTCTTTCCCCCCCATTTAAGCAATCATATCCTATATAATCTATATTAATAAAAGGGTAATATGCTAATTAGACTGGATCAATTGGCCATCTTCCGGAATTCTGACTTCCTTCTGGACAAAGCCATGGTGGTGGGGGCCAAGGCAGAGACAATCAGGCTGGCAAGGGAAGGCAGTTTAGAGCAAGATCAGGCCATCAGGGGAGGGCCATAGGGGAGAGATCAGGCAGGCAGGGGAGGGCAGTTGGGGGCAACCAGGCTGGCAGGGGAGGGCAGTTGGGGGTGAAATCAGGCTGGTGGGGGAAGGCAGTTGAAGGCAAGATCAGGATGGCAGGGGAGGGTCATTGGGGGTGAGATCAGGATGGCAGGGGAGGGTCATTGGGTGCGAGATCAGGATGGCAGGGGAGGGTAGTTGGGGGCGAGATCAGGCCATCAGGGGAGGGCAGTTAGGGGTGACCAGGCAGGCAGAGGTAGTTAGGGGCGATCAGGGAGGCAGGCAGGTGAGCAGTTAGGAGCCAGCGGTCCCAGATTGTGAGAGCGATGTCTGACTGCCGTTTTAGGGATCGGGCCTAAACTGGCAGTCGGACATCTCCCAAGGGATTCCCAATTGGAGAGAGTGCAGGCTGGGCTGAGGGAAATGACTTTGTGCACCGGGCCACTAGTCATTGATAATTCTCCCATCTCTCTTCCTCTCTGAAATCAATAAAAATATATTTTTAAAAGTCAACTTATTGTACTTTAGTAAGCATGTCCAGAACATTGCAATCAAGTGGGTTTGGCTACACATCAGAAGCCAGCAGTCCCTGAGACTCCACGGGGACTCCCTGGGCAGCACCATGGCAGCGGGAAGGGGAGGAAGACTCTGGGTGGGCTTGTGGATGAAAGGCGCCACATGCTGACCAGGTGGGAAGCAGCATGGAAAGACAATAAAGCCTTAGTTTCATGGATAGAACAGACCGGACAGACTACAAAAACGCATGCACAAACCCAACAATGGGAATGTGCCTGTGCCCTAACTCAACTGGGCCTGTTGTCTATGCTAATGCAAATGGAATCTGAAGTGGCTATGAAACAATGGCCAACTATAATGGCTGCAGGAGCCCAGGCCAGACACTTATGGGACTCATATGGTTTCCTAGGAATTTGAAAAATTGTTTTAAAAGCCCAGGTGCCTCAGTTAAATCCTAAACTTAAATTTCTAGTAGTTCAACTGACCAGCATAGGCACCATCCTCAATAATACAAGAATACTTCTAATGGTGAGTTGATGGGCCATATTTAAAAATAATAAACAATTTGAACCCATCTCACTGTCTGATTGTGAAAGTCAGAGAGGTGAATGGTTATGCCCCCAATCCATTGAATTCACCCAGTTCTAGCCTATTGTATCTGCCCCAAGGAATAACAATATATGGTATATGGGAAAGGGGTGTTTTTGCTGGGAAGGGTTAAAAATTCTTCTGTTATACTAAGAAATTTTTTACTGTAATATCACCAAGTTTACATTAAATAATACTATTGGGTCGGCAACTAAGTAATTGCGTATTTTTAAAAGAAAATCAAAGACAATTTTTTTATGGAACTAAATAACTTTATTCTGTAATGTATTGCCCATTTTGATCAATGACCTTTTGCCATCTTTCAGGCAGCATCATAATCCCACGTTCAAAAAACTTCTGGTTTTTATTAGCAAAAAACTGAATCAGGTACGATTTGACATCATCATCATTATTGAAATTTTTACCATTCAAGGAGTTTTGTAAAGATCGAAACAAAAAGTAATGAGATGGTGCAAGGTCAGGACTATATGGTGGATGTGGCAAAACATCCCAACCAAGCTCCATTAATTTTTGCCGAGTGACCAAAGATGTGTGTGGCCTTGCATTGTCATGATGGAATACACCACCTTTTCGATTTGTCAATTCGGGCCACTTTTCTTTAACTGCATTGTTTAATTTCGTTAGTTGTTCAATGTAGACATCAGAATTGATCGTTCGGTTGGGTGGTAAGAGTTCAAAGTAGACAATTCCTTTGTAATCCCACCAAACTGATAACAAAACCTTCTTTTGATGAATATCAGCTTTTGATGTTGTTTGAGTTGGTTCACCTGGCCTGCTCCACGATCTTTTCCGCTTGATATTGTTGTAAACAACCCATTTTTCATCGCCAGTCGTTTTAAAAATGGATCATTTTCATTATGTTTCTTTAGCAAATCGCAGCTGCTAATGCGTTGCGTTAACTGTGATTCTTTCAGTTCGTGAGGAACCCATGTATCGAGTTTTTGAACATAGCCAAGTTGTTTTAAGTGATTTTCAATGCATGTATGTGATACATGAAGCTTCTCTGCAATCTCACGTGTTGTACTGTGACAGTCCGAATTGATTATTGC